TCCAAATTTGCCTTCGGCTTTTAGAGAAATTATGTTTTAGTTCTGGTTTCGCCAACAGATGGCGCCACTCGCTTATTCTTGTCCAGGCTTTCTTATCTTATCTAAATATTATTTCCTATCTTGCTCATTTGCGGTTTTGCAGCTGAAGATGATGGTTCTGTAAAACCATCGAAACTAGTCCTGTGAAAATTTTGTAAATTAACGCTGATTTTTGTTGTTTGACTTCTGAATTAGTATCTATAACTTAGTCTTTGACTTGATATATTTCAGGTGTTTACCATTAGATGAGGTATAAATTATCTGTTTTACTTTGCAAATTAAAACTTTATCTAGCTTATCTAATTTGCGCAATATAAAAACAGTGAAGATATGTTTTTATATATTTTAATGCTATCACTGAAATAATCTGTAATACATATATTTCACAGGTAACAAGTATAGCTAATTAAAATTTTTTATGAACATTTGCATTCTTGTAATTGGCAAAAAATATTTCCAGTCTGCTTTGCCATACTTTAGTATCAAATAATTGTTTGCAGTCTGCATAATTATATAGAATTTACCAGTCTAGTTCATATAACTAATAGTTCTAAAGTAAAATGTAAAATTGAATAACTTTACATAATGTAATTTGTAAGAACTAATTCATATACGAGGCATATTTGGAAACTAAGTACCGTTTTGGAAAAAAAAAAAAAATAGTAAAGCAATTTTTTTTTTGAATTTTTACATGAAAATACATGTCTTAAACTATTTTTCAACATAGTTTCCGCCAATGATCAAACACTTGTCATAAGCCCTGTTCACATGCAACGCTCCTTCGCACAGCTGTCGTTAGCAAGAGGAGAAAAAGGAGACATGAAAGAGTTTCGTCTTTAGGACCCGTTCAGAAGACCACCGTCTTCCTTCCCCTTTACACCTAAACCTCTGTGAACAATCACATCTCCAAATTGGCAGATTTCTAATACTGTTTACACATTTTTAACGTTGTTTACTGTTCCTAATTTTGTAATCTGTACTTTCGCAACTGGTACCTGAACTTTCATAATGGTTCCTGAAAAATATATGCTTTTTAATTATTATTATTATTATTTTATAAGCTGTTACTTAGTTCACTCTTGGTGCTTGTCACTATGGTTAAAAGATGGTCATGGATTTTTAAGCTGCTTCCCGATAAGATATAGAACTAACTTTGTACATACACTGCTTGTGGATGTGGTGTCACACTTTTGATTTTTAGAGGATTAGATTTTTTTTCAAACTTAAAGTTGAAACGACTTTTTGCAAATATTAACAAATAAACTGAGAATCTCAGAATATTTTAGTTTGCCCCATAACACACTGTGGAGGAAAAAAAATTAAATGAAATTTTTAGCGTAATTTTTTTTAAAAATATTTTGGGAGAATTTTTGAAAATCGTTCATATTTTTAGACATTTTGATGCCCATTAATTTTAAAATTTCATATCTAAAAATATATCGGTTACAATCTTCCGACATTTTCACAGCTTATAAAACAAACTTTTCGCATTTAAAAAAATGATAAAGGAAATTGGATGATTTTTTTACTTTTTTGAAAGATATGCAATGAAGCAGAATGGGAAATATTGGTTCTTCTTGGACATCAATTCGAAACATCGGTTTCAAAGTAATAATCTCATTATACCACACTATTTTTATGACATTATTTATGCTATATATGTTGTTATTGTTGCCAGTTGTTAGTTCAGGGTGAAATCGGAGATATTTCTGAGTTAACTTTCTCTTAAGATGCGTTTTGCATTCCGTTGTGTTTATCATTCTTATTAGATTGAAGCATAACTACTGATTATACTTAGTGATATTCTAAACACTTGTACGAATATTTCTGTGAAAAATTCCAGAACTTTGGAGTGTTTATGTTGATAAAATAAATTTAATTAAGCTGTCATCGGATTTGAGTGCAATGACAATCATTTACAAATTATTATCAATCTATTACACACACAGCAATATTATAATTAATTAAATGTATTAAAATTGTTTTCAACGTGTTTTACAAAACAAAAACAGGTTAAAAAAAATTCTGTTTGCATTTTATGAGTTTTTGCAATTTCTGGCCACATAAGGTTTTTAAAAAAAGGTTTGTAATTTATGTTGAATAAATAGCTCTAGGTTTGATTTATATACATATGCATGTATTGAAATTCAGTAATAAAATTTTAAAGATTTGAAATGATTAAATGTCTATTTAGACAGTTTGTATTCTTTAAACTGCAAATGCAAACTGAGAAACCTTTTGCATTTTTTTCAATAAATCCTTTTACTTAAATCCTAAAACATATACAGGTATGGACTAAATTTTTTATTATTTTTACTGCTCATTGAAAATTATATACTTTATAGAAACAAGGATGGATTTTGCAAAATACTGAAAGGAAAAATTATTTGAAATGAAAACGTGACTGAGATCATATTTGTTTTAAAGATTTTAGATAAAAGTGTATTTTTATTTTTTTTCTCAGAAACTAATTCATTAATTACAAAATCATTCCTTCAAGTTATTAAGAACACTCTAATAAATACAATAAAAAAACTGGGGGGAGACATTGAAAATTGTAGGAGAAGAAAGGCATTTTAATTGTAAAATTTTTCTTCAAAACTTTAAATTAAAAAAAATTACTAGCAAAAACTTTTTTCCAGCTTAAAATTATTTTGTCTCACAAAACAATTTAATAATATTCATAAAAAGTAGATGAAAATGCTTAATTAAAAAAAAATCATTCAAAACATACCGAGTCCCTTGTCGCGTTGAAGCTGATATGCACTTGTCTTAACTTTAGTTTTAATTTGAACGACATTTCTGGAATAACGTCGGATAATCTTGTCTGTATTTGTCTATAATTTTCGTATCTTGTACAGTTCTAATTTTTGGGGGTATGCTATCACATCCCCAGACATCTATCAGCGCGATTGTTTCGCTGACAGTCCAGCGAGTAGTAACTAAAATTAAGTCAACCGCGCAGTATCGTACGGGAAATCTCCCCATTTGCCCTGCTCCCGAGAGGTAAGGAACATTCAACCAAGTTCTACCTCCAATTTGGCGAGGCAGTTAATGCTTGTCCCATGTGAACGGGACACGTTGGAAGAACCGGTTTTTGCTACCGGTCGAATCTGCTCTTGTGAACGGGGCTTTAGCGGGTGACCAGTTTTTGTATACCATCGTCAAAGATACTTCCCGCCAGTTTCAATAACCATGACTCCACAGCATTTTTTGTGTCATTGTCAGATCCAAAGTGCTTGCCACCATGCTCGTGCTTCATGTGCAGGAACAAGTGATAGTTGGACGGCGCCAAGTCCGGGCTGTACGGTGGGTGATCAAACTGCTCCCAATGAAACTGTCGAATTAACGATTGAGTGACACCAGCAGTATGGGGCCGAGCATTGTCATGGAGCAACACAATTCCTTTACTGAGCATTCCTCTTCGTTTGTTTTGAATGGCATGCCTTAGTTTTGTTAAAGTCTCACAATATCGTGCCGCATTAATGGTTTCACCTCTGGGAAGAAATTCAGTAAGCAAAACGCCTTTCCTATCCCAGAAGACAGTGCACATGATTTTTTGTGATGACATTGTCACTTTGAACTTTTGTTTTTTCGGAGAATGAGTGTGTCTCCACTCCATCGATTGTTGTTTCGATTCTGGTGTGAAATGACACACCCAAGTTTCATCACCTGTCACAATTTGGTTTAAAAAGTTTTCTCCCTCATCACTGTACCACGTGAAAAATGTCAGGGCACTACCAAGTCGCTTTGTTTAGTGAACATCAGTGAGCATTTTTGGAACCCATCGGGAACACAGTTTGCGATAATTCAAGCGGTCAGACACAATTTCGAACAAAACAGTACGTGAAATTTGTGTAAATGCCTCTGAAAGAGTTTTCATTGTGAAGCGTCTGCTCTCATGAATTGCTTCATCAACTTTCCTTACCAAATCATCGGTGACAACAGAAGGCCGGCCACTCCGAGCCTCGGCGTGGACATTTGTTCGACCTGCATTAAACATTCTTATCCACTTTCTCACTATTCCATCACTTATCGCATATTCACCGTAAACTTCTGTCACTTGACGATAAATTTCGGCCGGTTTAACATTCCTTGCGTTAAAAAATTTAATCACGGCACGAATCTCGCAGTCAGCGGGAGAACTAATTGTCTTAAACATTTTGAATGTGCACAGCAAACTGAAAACACAACACAGAGCAACCAAAATGGCGACAATTGAAAGTCAGTAAACAAGAAAGACTAGTGTGCATGCACGGGACGCCTACCACAGCACTGCAACGGCGCTAGAATGAAACGGTACTTAGTTTCCGAATACGCTACGTACTTTAGAATTTTCTAATTAATAATACTATTAAATTAATAAACATATTATTGTTATTATTACTATTATTGTAAATAATTTAATATTGTTTTTGAAAGTTATGCAAATTAAACTAAATTCAGTAAAATTATAAAGTCATTATAAATATCTTTTGACTCAATTCAACTGTGTTTTATTATTTCAGTGGAAAATTTATATATTTCAATATTTTGGGGAAATTTTAGTATTATTATTTTAACACTCGCTGAAGATATTTACTTTATATTTTCAAATTATTTTGAAACGATATGATTGAATCTGAAGCACACCAATTTTAATATTGGCTGTTAATCTGAGATTGCATTATCCTGTTTTCATAAACAGACATATTTTGTATTCATGTAATTTTTATTACATGAACATTCTTTGTGCACTTTTCTTAATGTTAAGAAAGTATAAGTACATATTTCTTAGACTTATGGCTTAGCTCTAAGAAATAGGTACTTTTAATGCATCCTAAATATGGATTAGCTTAATATACCTTTGCATGCTGCCTTGAGATAGCATATTTTGTAGGAAAAAGTATTTGTTGCTGCTTTGCATTTCAACTGTATTGTCTATCACCTTATATTTAACTTTCTTAATATGTTTATTTTAGAAAATGAAGAACAAGGTATAATGTCCAAAGGAATGATATTTACTATAGGTAATATTTTTATGAATGCTGTTTAGCTTAATATACTTCATAAAATATTTTAAACTAGTAGATTTAGTTAGAATAATAGTCTAGTACTGGTTCTAAAAATCTAGTTGTAATATAAATAAGCAAAACTAACAGTCAGTAATTTTTAATAATAATGCTTTTCTAAACTGAGCTTAAATAAGCTAGCTGTATTTTTAAAGAGACCTTTGAAGAAAATATGAATTAGTCATTCTATATCAAAAACCAAAAAAGCAATACTTGTTTGGAATTCAAACAGGTACCTGCTTTGATGGCTTTCTCATTTGCTTTATTTTAACTATGCACCTTTTGTAATGCCATCGGTTAAAAAGTTTCTATTGCTCTAATGTAAATATTTCTAATGTGAAAAGCTTATAATGTTGAAGGTACACTTAACAGATGTTTTTTGAGTTTCTGACTTTATACTCATGCAGTTTAGTTAGTAATACTTCAAGTTATATTTTTCTGTAAATTGTTTTAAAGCTATTATATATAGTAAATTATTTTTTAATTATTGTCCAGTTATATCTGAGATTTTTAAACTTATTTCATGGATTTTTGTGGCTCTCTTTCTCTCAAAAAATAAATGACAATTTTATCCTTTTAATACTGTAAAGTTCTCGAGTTCAAAATATCTATTTTCTAGTCCTTTAAATATGTTCTGTTGTTCATAGAGTTCCTGTAAAACATTATAAAAGTTAACTGTAGTTATACATGTGATGCAAATCCATATATCATACTGTAAACTGCATATGAAGACTGTATTTCTATGGCTTTTATATGTTATATTTGCATAGATTATTAGAACTGTTTGCATAGTTTATGTTATATTTGCATAGTTAAATTGCTTTGGATGTGGGATCATTTCAGCACTGTCTGTTTCTACATAGATGTACTAGTAGAATGGAATAAATCTCTCCCCAGTCCCATATCTCTAATAGATGATATGTCAAAATAGTTATCTGCTTCTCAAAGCTCTGGATCTCTAAACTTAGGATCAGGAATTGAGATAGCATATACTTAAAAAATTTAGATAAAATCATACTGAGCATTAGTATGGAAGACATTTAATGTCAGATAAATAAACCTAATTTTATACTGAATATGATTTTTCCAGATACAATGAAATCTTAGTTTGCAAACTGAGTTCATACTTGAAGGTAGTTCATCATTTGGAATATTTGTAAACCAAAGCAATTTTCCTCTTACGAATGAAAGTAAAATGAATTGATCCTAGATGATTGCTTAGAAAAGAGTACTTTGTTTGTAAGTTCATAATGCAAAATCAGTGGAATAAATTAAATCTAATACATATGCAGTATTAACTTATACATAATTTTTAATGCAATACTAAACATAAAAGATTGGAAAACTTGAATCAAATTTTACCATATCTCTGTCAAGGGAAGTTGATAACATAAGCAGAAAATGGTGAAAAAGGTCAAAGGTATAAAATGTTATAGTTTGAAAGAGAAATCCTTTTCTGTAAAGTATCTGATAGCTGCTGCCTTTCTGGTTTTCTCTCTCTCTCTCTCTCTCTCTCTTTTTTTTTTTTTTTTAAATATCACTTGCCTCTACTGGAGAATCACTGAGCTTTCTGCCCTTAGTTCAGTGTGATTTGCTTGTCTGTGTTTTTAAATGCACCTAAAGCAAGACATGACATTGTCATTGCAAATATTTCTGTGTTACTACTGCTTTATCAGTTTCATAATGTTCTTCGAACCTTTGCACCTTACCCCATTTTGCACAAATTAGGAAATAGCTAGAAACATCTTCCCTTCTGTTTTCTTCTGAAAACATTTCCTCCATTGCATTGACTATATTTTGGCATACCACTTATTGCTGGCTTACTTGTTTGTATCTCAAGACATCATTAAAGACACTTTTCATTTTAAAAATTTGTTTGCAATCCAAGGTCTTCATTACCAAAGTTCCTCTGTATATATTCCATAATAGATAAATATGTCTGATGCAGTTATAAAGAAAATAATATAGTAGGACTAAAGTAAGTTGACTAGCCAGAAAAGTATAATTATTGGTATCTGTGTATGTAAAAAATTTGCATGGGTGCAGAAATACCATTAATCAGGGCAGCATAGTTTTAAAATTATTAATGTATAAATGTATCACTACAGGAGCATTTTCACATGAGTCTTTACACTTTTCTAGAGGGAGAGTTAGTCATTATTATATTTTATGGTGGTTTGGATTATTCTGATGATGACAAAGTACTCCAAGGAGTACTTTTAGAGAGAACTTTCTAAGCATGCTGGCTCTTATTAATTTTAGCACTAGGGAAAACTATTAAAACCATGAGCAGGGAACCTATCCACTGAACTAGATTATAAACCATAGAGAACTACTAGTGTTTCACAGCATTAGTCATTCAGCCAGTGACTGACACAAATTGTAAAAGATATTGATTGAATGAGTCTTACTTTAGAATGTTGCAGTATCCTTATTTTGGTACTTTGTTGACATGACTTGCTTATTATTCTATGTTTAAGTTAACAGTTTGGCCTTAACATCTATTAGATTCTTATAAGTTCTGGAATAATGGAATACAATAAATTGTTTTAATGCAAAATTATATTTTGGCAAAACATACTGGCACTGTCTCATAATAGTTTACAAATATTATTCTTCAAGAATGTATCTTGGGAATCCATTTGCTGGAAATAATGATAGTGGTTGAGTTGTGTCAAATGACCAGTTGAAGCTCCATTAACCCTTTGCGACACGCATATTTAAAATATATTTTAATCTTTAAAAAAATGCCTTAGAATAAGTGAGATGGACTTACTTAAGTGTCTTTAAGGCTTCAAAAAAATTCTGCGCTTTTATTTTTTACGGGGAAGGTGGGATACCGTTTGTCCCACCATGCAACTAGCACATGTTCTATAGCATATTTGGTTATAGCAGGAAAAAAAAATCATATGTGGAATATAAACAAAACAAAAGCATGCATTCTAAACATTCATAATAAACACACTAAAATGCATTTTGTACATATTGCATATATGCATGACTTGTAAAAATTTTGCATATGCACATTTTGCATATATTTTAATATTTTAGGAAACAAAAGAAAATATTTTCTTGAATATTATTTTAAGATTAAATTTGAACACATACATATGATACTAAATAAAAATGAAATTGGCACTTGATCAAAACATTTATATATGATTAAAACTGAAAAAAAGTCATTTTCATGAACTTTGAAAAACATGTTTCATTCTTTTGTAAGCATAGAGGCACTTAACATGTTTACACATCCAAAAATGTTCGTCATCTTTTTCAATGTGCTGACAATATGCACATCTTTCTGCTCGTCTTTTGTGTGACTTAATTTTTTAGTCTCTTTCTGTGACGAACAGGGTTTAGTTTTTTTGAAGATTTTTTTCTTTTCTGCTTTTTCTTGCTTGACCTCTATCACTGAGAGAAGAAAAATCTTTCATTGTGTTAACATGATCGGGTTCACGACAAATGTAAAAAAAAAAAGAAAAATCATTGCTACCATTCTTGCTTTTGCGGTCTATTCATGTAGTCCTTCAGTTGATCAATCAGTTCAACATCCCATGTTCTTATTGTATGAAATAGTGCTGTTTGGGCATAGTATTTTTGTCTTTCCATCTCGTTTTTTCTATTAATTTCTTTAATTCAGTTGCCTTTTCCAAGCAAGACAGGATGAAAACAGATCTTTATCCTTCCATTTTATGCAATAAATTGAAATCATCGTAACTGAAAAGTTAATTCTCTTGACATAAATTTGTGAGTAGATACTTCCGATTCATATTAACAGTGCCACATGCATAGATGGGTCTGTGTCTTAAAAAGCAAAAACAAATTATAGTTACTTCCCTTTCTTCTACAGCAATAACTTCAACATCAGCTATTCTCTCTGGATTTAATTTAAATTTCATCTGAAGCATTTGAGTCGCAATCGGATGGCAATTCAGCCAAAAAGATCCAAAGCTTCCTGAGTTGTTAATTTTTTTTCTAGACATTTTAGCACATCAGAGCATACAAAGAATGTAAAAGCGCGCGCAATTCACGAAAAAAAATAGATGCAAAAAAGAAAAGAAAAATAATCGTGAGTGCTCATCTATTGAGCGGAAATTCTCGGTGTGGGGGACAAAATTTAACCCACTTATTTCAACTGCAAAAAATGTTATAAAATACTGAATCCAATTAAGATTTTAGAAAAATAAAATACTTTGAATATTAAAAAGAATCATACATATCCTAAATTGCATACCAAAAGTTTTAAAATATTGAAAAATGCGAGATACATGGATATCACTCTTGTGATCCTATTTTGAATTTTTTGCTTATAAAACTGAAGCCCGGATATAGTAGGACATTCTACTGAGAAAAATAATAACTAAAATAGATTATTTTAAAAGATTAGAAAATTTCTAACGGAAAATTGCTAACTGAGAAAATAAATATTAATTAGGTGGGACATATATTGACCCACCATGCCGCAAAGGGTTAATAGTAGTTTATTGCATAAAATTGTAAATTGTTTTGACTGTGAACATTAAAGTAGTAATTCATAATGCAGTAAGGGACTTCTAGATGCAAGAACTTGGTTTTAAGCTAATTTAATATTTATCGTCAATCATATTATTTTTTAATTAATGGTTAAAGAATTTTTATCTTCAAAATTTATGAGTTTTTTTACTTCAAGTACTTGCTTAGACATCTGTAACTTTGTAAAGTTATGGCACATCAGTAAAGGTTCAGAAATTTATTAGTTGTTGAATGTCAAGGTTATAAATGTTGTCCTGCTTATTGCAAAACCATCAAATATCTGTTTTTGTTTTGTTAATATAGGGCGTTTCAAAAAGATGCAGGTTTTTCTTACTTGTGAGATTTTTCATTCGTTTACGGATTTCCCCATGCTTTGAAATAACAGAACATTCTTGTGAAACTTTGTTTTTAATCAAAATGACCAAAATTAATTCATAGGAAAGAGTTCTGGGTATTTCCAGTTCTGTAATGAATATATATGAAATAATACTCAAAGTTAGATTGATGTGATATATGCACTATCTAATTAGGTAAAAATAGTGGAGTTTCAGCTCCCAGAAATGAAAAAAATGTGATCATGCTGGAAAGCTGGTGATATCAGTGATGATGCATGTTACGCTGAGTTGTTAGAGATTATGTTGTGAGAGAGATGTACAGCTCTCTCTCAGAGCTCTTGAAAGCTGCTTTAATATGTGCTCTTTTATAATTATACTTTTTCATTCATTAGGTTAAACAAATGCTAAATAATATTTTCACTTGTTGCCATTTTCTCATGAAAGGTAATATTGTCTTCAGGCCTTTTTTTATAGTCTCTTCAAGAAATAGTATCATAAATCTTTTGTAAATGAAGAATTTCATAAGTGAGGATACATATGATACAAAACAAGTTAAACATCATTTGATAAGGAAACCATGAATTTTGCTGTATCATAGTCTGTGTGTGCACATTCATTAAACTGATTCCATAAAAGCAAGAATCAGTTATGTGCCATACAGGTTATAGCAGTTTTTAAACTTTAAAATACTCTGTTGATAGCAATTCTTTGCAAAACTTCTTACACTATGTTAGTTATTTTTTTAACAAAATCTCAGAGGGAATTTTTATAAATAGGTTTATTATAAAATGCCTATTAAAAATAAAGTAGCCCAAAAGTCTCTAATTTTTTTTTAAAAATTAATTAGTCTCTAATTTAATCTAATTAATAATTTAGACATGCAATGAAAGTTTTATCTTTTATTAATAAAATTATAAGCCCTTATTGAATCAAGAATAATCAGAGACACAAAAGTTTCATTGAATGCCATCTAGAAATAAGAGAGCCAAATCTTGTTTAATAGCTTCTCAAAAATTTAATTTGATTTTCTGTGGTGTCCTAATTGGTTAATCTGGAAAGTAACTTCTTTCTTGAGTATGTTATGAATAGTTACTCTTCAGACCACATTTTCAGCAAGCTCTTCTCGACTGATGTAGCCAATTTTTTATTTCTTCACTTTTTTAATCCTTGTGTTAGCTATAATTAGAGGGTCATCTTCACAATCTTCTCAAATCTAGTTCTGCATCCATTAATCTAAGCCTTAAATTTCTTAACCCAAAGACTGGCCACATAATGCTTTTTTTTTTTTTTCCTTTTCAATGACATTTGCTTCTGTTTTCAACAGATAGAAGGTTTGATTTAGTTTCATGATCAGTATCAATCCCAGATATTCTTATCCTTTTCTCCTTTTTTGTATATTTTTATTAACATCAATCTATATCAATTTTCCATTTTGTTCTTTTGTATAGTTAATTTAATGGGGTTGTCACATCTAGCAATGTGTGACAGTAGAAGAAACTTTTCTGCAAAATGAGTTTTTCCTTCTCTTATCATTGCGGTTAAACAGGAGGGTTCCTAGCTAAAACAGTCTCAGTGAAACTGATGTCCTACACACTACATTTTGCGATTGAGATAAATATGTTTAATTCACAGCTCTGTTTGACATGTAGTCACAGATAGCTTTCATGTCTGATAAGGGTTTAAAACAGTACTAGAGATCATGCATGTTTATGTCAGTAACTCTATATACACTCATGTTCAGATTTATCTTTACATACCCAAAAATAATGATATTCCATTAAATATCCAATAGTTGTAATCCATTTTTGCAGGGAATGTATGAGTAATTAGCATTATCCAATTAAAGTGATCAAGTAGTAATTAGCAAGTCTATGCAATTATGCAATCAAAGTAATCAAGCAGTTTCTAATATGCAAATCAAGGCATTACACTATTTTATAGTGAATCAAGCACTTTGCTCAAAATGACTATCTGAGTGAATTTCTGAAATACATCATTTGATATCATTGTGTAAGGACTCAAAATGGTTTGTTAAGGCTCTAAAGTATCATTTAGAAGAATCTGTGAAGTGATGAATCATTGGTCATTTAGAAATGGGGCAGACAATCAGGGAGCAGTGAGGTGTGTGAATATTTCAAGACAAACAGTCTTTACTCTGTGGAAACAACTTCAGAATTCTGGAACTGTTGTAAGTAGGCCTGTACAAGGTCATTAATGAAATACTTTGCTCAGCTTCTCAAGATCTGGCACTAACTGCTCGCTGTAACTGGAAGTCTACTGCTCATCAGTTAAGTTCAGATCTTGCAATCGCTACTGGAACTTTTGTATCACTGAAAAATGTATACAGAAGTCATAATGAAGAAAATCTTTATGCCAGAAAGCAAAAGGTATGTATTTCGCTGTGTTCACAATGGAAACGAGATCACTTGAATTAATACAAAGTACATCAAAACTAGAGTGAACACCAAGGATTCCATGTTGCTTTATTGTTGAATCGAAACTCAGTTTAACATCTGATTCTAAACATGTATAGGGAGTCAAGAACATAAAATCTTCTTGCGAATGTTATGGAAGAACATGCAGATGTGGTGGTATGGGTAGGAATAAGGATCAATGGACTTATGTTCCTACATGTTTTCAACAGCGGATCTGAGATGGGCTAAAGGTACCGAGATGAGGTCTTAGAACCTTATGTAAGACTTCAGAAGCTCATATGGATCTGACTTTTTATTTATGGATGATAATGCTCATCCACACCGAGCAAACCTCATTGACAAATTCCTTAAAAGTGAAAGCATTGAGCAAATACCATAGCCAGGAAAATCTCCTAATCTTAACATGATAAAAAAACTTATGGAACTACCTTAGCAAAGCAATTGGATGGAGACATCCTGCTCTTAGAGAGGTAAATCTCTTGAAAGCTGCATTGCTGGAGGAACAGAACTTAATTCCCCAAACAGTGGTTCACCACATCCTGCCAGGTTGAAAGCACATTGTTAATGTGTGTATACAAGTTGGAGGATCCTATTCCATATTAAATTCATAAGCCTTGATTTGTTTTTCTGTGTAGTTCTCCCCCAAAACTTTCCTGGTAACATTTTATAACCATTTTTATTGTTTCATGCTACAGTTTTATATCATATGCAGTGCTTTATAATTTTAAAAAAAAATTGTATTTATGGTTTATGATGTTATGTATTATTACACAGAAATTCATAGTTTCTGAGGAATCTGATTTTGTGCATTAAAGATAATTTTGGGCATCATTCTATTTTATGAAACTGTAACATATCTAACTTTACCTTAATTTATTGTTTTTATTGTCAGCTTGCTGGTAAATTTTTGAAATTATTGCTGATAAAAAAAGTTTCAAAAGTTCTTGGGGAAACAAATTTGAAGGTAGAGCTACAGATTTCAAAACATCTGTATTGTTCAACAGTAATTTCTTTTTAAAAATATTCAGAGTTTTAATTTTTAATAATTGGGTGTTCTTTAACTGTTTGTAATCTTGAAAATGGAAATGGTAATTAAACTGTTGGATCAATCTCAGAGAAATGAAATCTATTTTGTGATTAATCCAGTAAATTCATTGTATGATAATTTTGAGATTAAGTTCAGATTAATTTTAATAAATAGTAACTGATTCGATGGTAATGAGAATCTAGTTTTTTTAACATAATTTTTACAAATGAACCCAATATATAAGAATATACAAATGTTTTTTATTGCTATTTTTTCCTCTAAATCTCATTTGGTTATTTAAATTTTGTCATATAGCCTTAATAAATCTAAAAGTTATTAGAACTAAAGTGAATTAAAGAGTCAGAATGCAACAGCATTTGTATGAAACCTGTCATTATAAAAGGAATCCCAAGTCATTGACATCTTTACAGTAGAAGCTTTAGAATGAATTGCAATGTAAGATTTATCTTGCAGTGTGAAGACATATGGAATTGCTCACAGTATGAAATAACTAATAATAGTATGAATAACTTTCTCATAATATTTTTGTATCATTTTTATGTTTACTTCTTGTTCATGTTTACTGAAGTGCAGTCAGCTCATATGGTGACCAAATCAATGCCTCTTTTTCCGTGGCGTTACATCCATGCCAAAGTTTCATACATTCAAAGCTTTATGATTAAATAACAGCCCATGGTCACTGAAATAAAAGCCCACCAGCGGCCAAGTGGTAAAGTCGCTGAACAGTGGTAGTTCGGTCCAAGGTTCGAATCCCTCAAACAGGCTGGCTGCATGAGTGTTTTCGTGGTTTTCTCCATGTGTAACGTGTATACAAGCCAGTTTCCTTTTAGAAAGTCCTCCACGAAGGCATCCTTTCCCTTAGGCATATAGCCTTCGAGGCTTTGCCATAATTAAATAACCTAACCTAACCACTGAAATAAAACTTGTTTTTCCAATTACTGTGGTTACTTTTTATTTTTGACAGTAATATTTAGTTTCATTATACATATTGTTCATTTGAGAATATTTTTATGATTTTGCCCCTACAAATTTAAAAAGATCCTGCAGATTTCTGTAATGAACTTAGTCTCATTTCCTTTTTTTTTAACCTTCTAGAACCTGTAATATGTGAAGGCAAACCAGATATAGTCATATTAGAAGATGGGTGGACTGCTGCTACTGAGGATAATAGCAGAAGTGCACAGTTTGAGCATACCATCCTTATTACTGAAACTGCTGCTGAAATACTTACAGTTTCAAGTGCCTTCAAAACTGCTGATTAAGTGATACTTAAAAACTGCTGTGATAAATATATTTTAAGTTAACATTTCAAGTTAACTTATTTAAAATATGTGTTATCTGCTCTTGATAATTTTGTTAATGTGTTTTATAACTTGTTTTTCTTGATAAGAAAATTTTATTTTTGTCATATTTAGTTTTGAAGCATTTTTTGTTCTATTCTATCAGAATTTAAAAAAAAAAAAAAAAAAAAAGTCATTACCAAACTTCTGAGTTATATTGTTTTCATACGAAAAATTTGTAGTACTTTTAATAAAGAACTTCAATGTAGATTTTTATATTTGTCAGTGTGTGCCAACATTTTATATGCTATTAAACAAACATTAGAAGTTTCTAAATATATAATTTTTAATGTTTAAAAAAGATTGAACTAAATCAACTGACTTTGGATAACTAAGAAACATTGTATTCAGTTTATGCTAGAGAAACACTGATTTGAGAGTTGGTAATTACAAATACTTTTATGTAGCATGTTCGGTGAGGAAAAATGGAAAACTTTAATTGCAGTAGATAAAGCATTTGTCACATTATGACAAGAGAATTTTTTGGCAAACCAAGGCAACTGAATTCATTTGAGTTCATCATGGAAGAAGCGTCTGAATTAACTATCTCAAATTTAAAAATTGGTAAATGAGAATCAAGGCTTTCAATTAGAATGCAGTAAATATTATAAATATATCCATAAATAAAAAAAGATACTAATTTTTAACATTGTTATTACGTTTTATGAACTTTATGTGCATTACAAAGTTTCTTTATTGTTACAATATTTTCATTTTATTCACTGTTTACAATTAATGTAAAACCTTTAATGTAAATAAGATTGTAAATAAAATTAATAAACTGTACTGATTTGAATCATTGCTGTTTTGTATTAAGTTTTTGAATGATAAATATAACATGAAGAAACTGATAAACTGACCATCAAATAAAAATTTTAATTTCTTCACATGGAAAAGTCTTAAATATAAAGTGAATGTAGAATGTGATGTTAGCAATGTCATAAATCTAAAGAACTTACAGCAGTGGATGGCATGCTATTAAGATATGAACATTTATTGATATTTTTTAAAGTGTTGTGTTATTCATAAGGATAAAAATTTTTTTTCAGTTACATATTTCCAAGATATCTATTTGAAATTCATGTGAGAGATTTTAAATATTGTAGAAACTCATTTAGAGGAAAATGTAGAATTTTTTTAGTGTACATTTATATTTTAAATAAGCTTTTGAATATCGTGATTCAAATTATAAAATTGTGATCAGTAAACTGCATAATTTTATATGGACTATAACTTTGAGATATTTTTTTAATGTTATAAACTTGATTTGAATTTTATAAATATTTAAGAAGGTTCAGAAGTCAAACAACAAAAATCAGCGTTATACCTACAAAATTTTTTACCTACAAAATACCTACAAAAAAATTTTTTTAACGCTGATTTTTGTTGTTTGACTTCTGAATTAGTATTTATTTGGCATGTTATTGTGTCTTAATTTAAGAAGGTTGTTTCAAGCTTTTTATTTCATAAGATTTTTTACAAGTGTTACATATATAAATATTCAATATGTAGACTTCCATATATATTATATATATTAAGTGCATGTAATTTACATGTTTTTTAAATAATATATAGATTTTTCACATATGTTAAGGGCAGAAATTAACATGCTTAAATGGCAAGACCAAGTCTGCCATTTAAATTTTGCAGTAGAGATAATATAGAGTGGTTATAAAAAACTTCCCTGTTATGTGAATGCTTAGTGGCCCATCCGCTCAATCAGTCAAAATGAAAGTTCGGATATTATTTGAAGGTATGTGCTTGAGATTGTGATGATTTAAAACAATAGAGCTCTCATGGTTACAGTGAAAAGTTTTGAAAATTTGGAATGGCAACAACCACTTTTTTCCCGTACGAATTGATCGGCACATTAAGAAATGGTAAATGGCATTGGAATGATACACATGTGACAAAAATTACTGCCATAAAACATTTGCAAAGAAGAAGAGCACCCATAAATGGCCAAATGGTAAAATAGCTGAACACTGGTAGTTCCAACCTGGGTTCGATTCCAAGTGAACAGGCTGGCTGCATGGGCATTTTCATAGTTTTTCTCATGTGTAACATGTATATGAGCCAGTTTCCTCTATAAAGTCCTCCATGACAGCATTCCTCTCCTTAAGCAGATAATACTGTTGTGCTTTGCTGTAATCAACTAAACCATTGTAAAGCAATGCAATACAGAGAGGAGGTGCGTTGATGCAGTTTGCATAATTCACAGGGATTAAGAATATTAGCACCATTCACAGAACACCATGTGCAGAACATTACTGGTAGTGACCCTATAGTAAGTTGTGTGGGGAGATTGTTCTCAGGTGTTTGAACCTGCTAACAAGATGACTGATTGATTATACTATTAATCATATCATGAACATTACATATGTGATGGATGTTCGAGTAAAACATGTAATCCTTCTCTTCTGTGTTATATATATATTTTAGTTTAGTGATGTGATTGTAAATTAAATATTTTATTATCTTAGAAGCCTCTCTTTTTCTGTGAGTAGTGCCTTTGATGAATGTAATTATTAAAAACATTCCCGGATACGCCTTTGGAACGAGAAAAAAGATCAACTAAAAGGTAAGCCTTTTTACCTTTATTTTCTAAGAATGATTGATTATACTGTTAATCATATCATGAACATTACATATTTTTGGCATCCCGTGCCGCAAAGAAAGCAAATTAATTGAAGATTGATAATAATGATTTTGTGTATTTTGAATTTAAAAGGCACTTATTGAATTCTTTAAGATTTATATGTTTGATTCAGTAAACATGTCAGTAGAAGTTATTAATAAACTATAGAAAAAGAGAGGCTTCTAAGATAATAAAATATTTAATTTACAATCACATCACTAAACTAAAATATATATATAACACAGAAGAGAAGGTTATTAATAAATTCTACTGACATGTTTACTGAATCAAACATATAAATCTTATTAATAAACTAAAGAAAAAGAGAGGCTTCTAAGATAATAAAATGTTTAATTTACTATCACATCACTAAACAAAAATATATATATAACACAGAAGAGAAGGTTATTAATAACTTCTACTTACATGTTTACTGAATCAAACATATAAATCTTATTAATAACTAAAGAAAAAGAGAGGCTTCTAGATAATAAATATTTTTACAATCACATCACTAACTAAAATATATATATAACACAGAAGAGAAGGTTATTAATAACTTCTACTTACATGTTTACTGAATCAAACATATAAATCTTAAAGAATTCAATAAGTGCCTTTTAAATTCAAAATACACAAAATCATTATTATCAATCTTCAATTAATTTGCTTTCTTCGCGGCACAGGAGGCCAAAAATATGTAATGTTCATGATATGATTAACAGTATAATCAATCATTCTTAGAAAATAAAGGTAAAAAGGCTTACCTTTTAGTCGATCTTCTTTCTCGTTCCAAAGGCGTATCCGGGAATGTTTTTATTAATTACATTCATCAAAGGCACTACTCACAAAAAAAGAGAGGCTTCTAAGATAATAAAATATTTAATTTACAATCACATCAGTAAACTAATATATATATATAACATAGAAGAGAAGGATTACATGTTTCACTCAAACATCCATCACGAGTTCTTAGAGCCAGTTAAAGAGTTCTGTTTTAGTTTTAACTGCGCGCATGCGCAAATCACGTGGTTGTCGGTGAGAGTTTCAACAATGACACTTATGTGGAAACAATGAGGTGAATTGATAAAAGCTGTTTTATCTGAGCAGATAAAAGGCTACTGAAGCAGTGCAAATTTATTGGTGAACTATGTATTCCTGTTGAAGTTGCAGAAATGTGTAACACTATTACTGCAGATCCATTTTATACTGCAAGAAGTGTTGCCTCCACTTTTGACTTGCTGAAAACCACAGTCTTCAAGCTTCTACACTCTGTTTTGGGAATGCTGTATTATAGATTCCAGATGTTAGAACCTGGAGGCGAGGAACAGCATGTCAACTTTGTGAATTTTTTCCCTCGTCACATATCAGGAAGATAGCAGATGGCTGCTGTAGATATTCTGGATAGCTAAGGTGTACTTCTCTTTAACTGGGAACATGAACTTCAAGAACTGCATTTACTAGGCTGATGAAAATCTTCACTAGCACCTTATGATGTAGCACTAGCATCTTTTCATAAGGCCAAAGAAACTGTGCAGTGCAGCATCACAAACACATTCATTCTCGGTCCATATTTCTTCGATGAGGTCACTTTCACAGGTGTGAAAACATGCTCTGTCTCAAAAGCTTGGTGTACAGTGACCTTGCAGAATTATTTATTTCCAGAATTGCAGCAGCAAAAGTCATTAATGACATTGTATGGATGCAAAAGGGTGCTCCTCCACATGTGTTTGACAAGTGCAGCAACATTACTTTTTTGACAGAGTTGTTTCCTATAACTTTGTAGTTTCGTGGCCACAACAATACCTGACCTCACTCTTTTCTGCTTTTGAGGTTATCTGATGTCTAATGTGTACACTTCAGATCCACAACATTTATTAGAACTGAAAGATGCCATAAAACTTGAGGTTATATAGATTCCTTCTGCAGTGTTAAGTTCATTGTTATCAACAATCTCCTGCTTGCAATGCATTATTGTCTCCGATGGTGGCCACATTGGAAACTTGTAATTCCAGTAACAATTTTTTTTCTTCTATTCTCTTGTGTTGTCATTGGGCCTGGCCTTTATAATGTTCTTCTTTGCTAATGTTTCGTGCCAGCAATTTTCGTCATACATGCATTGTTCCAATGCCATTTATGATTTTTCAATGTGCTGATCAATTTGCATAGGGAAAAAGTGGTTGTTGCCATTCAAAAATTTCTAAATTGTTTCACTGTAACCATAATCGTGAGAAATCTATTATTTTAAATCATCACTAACTTGAGCACATACCTCCAAATAACAATATCTGAAATTGCATTTCAATTAGTAGAGCAGATAAGTCGTTAGGGGTTCATGTATCGAGGAAGTTATTTAATGACGCTCCTGTTTGTATATATATATATATACACACACAATATGTAATATAAAAAGTACGTCAATCAAAATTATAACTTAAATTAGCAATAGGCCCTTTATTTTGCATTTTAATTTAGGCATTTTCCCTCTTTTTTCTAAAAACAATAATTGTTATAATAGCTTTTCTGGACTGTGTCATTTTTAGATTAATCCCTATCATGTGACTTTTACATGATGATGTAGCTAATTCGAACTGAAAACTTTATCTTTAACTAAGCTTCCATATTAAATAACTACGTACTAGTTTTCTTCACCATAGCTAGACCTCTGCTTGCTGCT